CGGCCTTTCCAGGAAGCTAGAAGTGACCCAAGCTCTCCCATTAACTAGGATCCTTCTCAGTTTCTAGAACTAATTTCTAATTCAGTGGTCCACATCCTTCACCACTGGGCCCGCCAGTTCCCCAGATCTCTTATCTTTAGGCACACTCCTGTCTTCTGGCCCACACTCCCCTACTCTAATACACAGGGCTTTGGGGTCAAGCGGCTAGCTAGCCCTTGCCCTTATCTTATCATTACCCCCAGGGGCTCAGAAGAAACTAGAACTTACAGTTGGGGGTTTAGAGGTGCCCTCTGCTGGCTGTTGAGGACTGAACCTTAGTTTATTTAATATAAGGGTAGGGTGGAGGTACGAGGGAATGGGATGAAACATACAAGTTTGTACCACTCTGATTCTGAAGAGGCTTTGACGGTCCTTAACCTAAACAGTTAGGTCCTTTGAGCTAAACTGTGTTTGGGTCACTGGCTTGTGAAAAACAGGATTCTTAATGAGCTGGGGGTGTCTCCTACCAGAGGACATTCGGCAATATCTAGAGATTCTTTGGTTATCTGATAACCAGAAGGTTTAAGGGAGATGGCCCCTGGCCCCTAAGGATTTGGGACAAAAGAGACTGCCTAACAATCTTACAAGGATCCCTCCCTCCTCTGCCCCACAACAGGGATTCTGCAGCTCCTATAGAGTGAACCTGACTTACACTTGAGGGAATAGAAATGAATAGAAAGTTGAGGTCACGGCCAGGCACAGGCTGGGCTATGGCAGGAGGACCACTTGAGTCAAGTCAGCAAGGAGATAGCATCTCTTTAAAAGTAGTGAGTAAGAAGCACAAAAGGGAAGCAGGAGTTGGAATTGGATGCTATTAGACATCTGTCCAGGGATGCTCACACTTGAATGTGTAAAAAAAATTTTTTTTTAATTTCTGTGTTACATGTTGGAATTTTATACTAATACTTGGCTTCCTTGGAGAGTCTGATTAGAGCTTTTTTCGGGGGGGGGTGATATAAGCTGTTGGGAGTTTTAAAACTTCCTAGGTGGTTTTAAATTTCAACTAAGCTTGAGAAAAGTTAAGCCTGTTCAAACCTTCATGTTTGAGGAACCAGATTCTCTTGAAGAAAAGAAGGCGCATGTCTCTCAGGTGACTCTACAACACACTCCAAAAGAAAAAAAACTGTGAAAGGAAACAAAAAATAATTTATGTCTTTTAATCTCCAAAATTTTATGGAACTGTGGTTTTGTTGTTATTGCAAAGAATTGAATTTCGGACCTCATGTTAGGCAAAGTGCTTTGCAAATGAGCCTTGTCCCCAGCTGAGGTGTCTTCTGTTTTTTAACCTCTTATGTATTTATTTACGTGTTTGTGCACGTGTGTGTGTGCGCGCATGTGTGTGTATGTGTGTGTGTGTGTGTGTGTGTGTGTGTGTGTGCCTGCAGAGGCCAGAAGAGGGCTTTAGATCCTCAGAAATAGAGGCAGTTGTAAGCCTTTCCTACGTCCGTGCTGGGAACAGAACCTGAGTCCTCTTGAAAAGCAGCAAGCATCCTTAACCACTGAGCCATCTCTTCAATCTCTTTTTTTTTTTTTTTTTTTTTTTTTTTTTTTTTCTATCCTG